GGAAGGGCAGGTCACTCGAGGTCTCAAGTCAGCAAGGGATCACGGGCTAAGACAAAGCCAGGCACGCTCCAGCCCTGAGCTGCTCCCCTTAGCCTTCTGTTAAATACTTGTCTAGCACAAGCTCCCCAGGGTTGAAATGGTTTCAAAGTGAAAGTTCTGGAAAACAAGCATTCACATCCCAAGTTAGGGCATGATACCTGCCTTGTACATTCTTTGCTGTTCCTCTCTGTATGTTGCCTTCCTCTTGAACTCCAGGGATCTGCAGCGAGACAGCTGGGGCATGGGGGGGAACAACACCAATTTTCCTGAAATCCCCTCAGCCAGACCCCATTCCCACACGTATTTATGTGTGTATTGAGAGGTCCACATTTCCTTGTAGTAAAACCTCTGGCAATGAGTTTCAGGAAGTGACACCAATCCCTATGTATATAGAACCATGCTGCTAAAATGTACTCCCTGGCTCCTACTTTCAGGATCCTAGAGAATTTGAAAGAAAAGTTTGTCTTGAAATACTAAAACCGTTAGGGGCGCCTGGGTGGCTCAGTCGTTAAGCGTCTGCCTTCGGCTCCGGTCATGATCCCAGAGTCCTGGGATCGAGCCCCGCATCGGGCTCCCTGCTCTGCAGGAAGTCTGCTTCTCCCTCTCCCACTCCCCCTGCTTGTGTTCCCTCTCTTGCTGTGTCTCTCTCTGTCAAATAAATAAAATCTTAAAAAAAATATACTAAAACCGTTAAACCATTCTGGAAGAAACCGTGCCCTAGAGACAGACACCTTTGAAGAATACTTTGAAAAGGTGTTTTGATCAGCAATACTGGGCTGGGTTCCTCCGTGGCAGGGAAACCCCTGGAAAGGGGGCCTGGTGTGGGGGGCTGCTCCCCCACCTTCCTCTGCCCTGGCGGACTCAAGCCTCGCTCCTATCGCAGGCAGAAGATAGACCACAGCTCCTTGGCCCAGGACTTCAAAGCGCCGGAGGCGCAGGAGTGCGGGGTTTCACTGGCGCAGGTAGTTCTCAAACTTGGCTGCATAATAGAACCCCCGGAGAACTTAAAAAACAAACCAAAACAAAAACCCAGCGTCCAGATCCATGAAATCAGAATCTGGGATGGGATCCCCGAGGTCTCCACTGTGCAGCGCAGGTGGAGGGCCCTCGGTGTTGATGAGACCAGAGGGATCGAGGAAGGGCAGGTCACTCGAGGTCTTAAGTCAGCAAGGGATCACGGGCTAAGACAAAGCCAGGCACGCTCCAGCCCTGAGCTGCTCCCCTTAGCCTGGATTACGTTTACTTACCTTCCCCCAGGCAGTCGGGAAGCCTTCCCGAACCTGCCTGGGGCTCCACAGCTGCTCACATCTGCACCACGAGCTTTCCAGGACAGGATAGGGGTCCCCTCTGTGCTCCAGCTCAGGTTGCCAACGCCCGGGTAACCAGGGCGTGTGCGTAGACTGCAATAGCAGGGTCAGGTCTTGACGGGGCTGGGGCAGAGGGTCCATGACTAGGCAAGAGAAAGGGCCTCGACCCCAGCAATATCCCGGTTTTTGCTGTGGAGGGAGGTTTCAAGATCTGGGCAATGGCCTCTGCTGGCCGCACCGAGGCTAGCTTAGCAAAGGGGGGAGGTGGGGGAGCAGCCCCCCACACTAGGCCCCATTTCCAGGGGTTTCCCTGCCACGGAGGAACCCAGCCCAGTATTGCTGATCAAAATACAACCTTTTCAAGGTATTCTTCAAAGGTGTCTGTCTCTAGGGCACGGTTTCTCCCAGAATGGTTTAACGGTTTTAGTATTTCAAGACAAACTTTTCTTTCAAATTCTGCAGGATCCTGAAAGTAGGAGCCAGGGAGTACATTTTAGCAGCATGGTTCTATATACACAGGGATTGGTGTCACTTCCTGAAACTCATTGCCAGAGGTTTTACTACAAGGAAATGTGGACCTCTCAGTACACACACAAATACGTGTGGGAACGGGGCCTGGCTGAGGGGATTTCAGGAAAATCGGTGTTGTCCCCCCCCATGCCCCAGCTGTCTCGCTGCAGATCCCTGGAGTTCACGAGAAGGCAATATACAGAGAGGAACAGCAAAGAATGTACAAAGTTAAGCAGGTATCCATGCCCTAACTTGGGATGAGGCTGCTTGTTTTCCAGAACTTTCACTTGAAACCATTTAAACCCTTTAAACCATTTAAAGCCTCTGTGAGCGCTCCCCGCCCGTCTTTTATGGGGAAGACCCTGGGGTGGAGGGCCCCGGGCGCCGTCCAGCAGTGCGCAGGCGCCGCCGCCACACACCTGGAACTTGAAGGCGTCCTGGGCGCCAGGCCCGGCTGCAGCGCGTACCCAAGCGCCGCCGCGTCACCTAGACCCCCGTCCACCGCCTCGTTGGCCGGTTCTGGGGACCACTACCGCCGCGCCCTCAAGACCCCTTACCCGGCCCCACCACTGCCCACGCCGAGCCGCTGCCGTCGGTCCCCGGGGCAGGCGGGCAATCACGCGGGGAGGGATGGAGAGAGGGAGGACCCTGCGCGGGGTGAAGGAGGACGTAGAGCTCTGGAGCCCCTAGAGGCTCCTCCCCCTCCCTCAGGTCCCAGAAACGGTTTGCCCCTTCCCGGACGTTGTCCAGAGCGCTTGGCTCCCGGGTGAGCCGGGTGAGTCCCGCTCTGCGGGGCCCCGGCGGCTGCCGAGATCGCGGGCTCCGGGGTCCCGGCACTGGCCGGGGCTTCCTGGCAGCGGGGGCGAGGGTCGGGTAGGGTGGCGAGCTGGAGCGGGGAGATGGGCGTGAGGCCCGGTGGCCGTCAGCGCTGCCCGTTTCCGGACGGCTCCCAGGGCTCCTGGGCTCTGGGCCCTAAGTAACCTGTGCCCTGGCGGCTCGGGAGGGGAGGGGCGGGAGCGTCTCAGACCCGCCCTCGCTGAGATGGGGGCGGGCACTGGCGGAGGGGGGGGGCGGGTTGGGGGCGTGGCCGAGGCGGGGCGCTGGGAGGACAGCCCACACCCACCCGCCCGAGAGAGCCCTGCGGAACCTGCCGTGCAGGCTAAGGGTCTGAGGAAGTGGCTCCGGGAAGGGCGAAGCCTTTCTGAGTGGGCGCCAGGAGCTGCCGAACAGCCAAGTCCTGGAAGGAGGGAGGGAGGGAGTGGTCTGTCCACTAACTGCGGCGAGGACGGGCACCAAGAGGAGGGGAGACCTGGGCAGGGGCTGCACCAGACCCAGTGAGCAGAGGAAAGGAACCCAAGCCCCAGTGCCAGGCCTTCGGGAATGGTGGTTTGCAGCCCACCTGAGCTCCCCAAAACAGCTCCAGGAGTTTGGGGAATTCCACTTTGGCGTCAGGGTTGGAGAAAAAACATCCATAGGATGCAGCCTTCAAAAGACGGGCATCAGATGAAACGTATCCTTCCACTGTCCAGTCCACTCTCCAGCATCTCCCTGTTTCCGGTTTATTATATATTATATATATTTCCACAGTTATTCTGTAACATACAAGCATACCGAAATACCTCTGTAAATATCCTTTCTAAATGTTTTCTCTACACAAAGGTAGCATAGATTACTTACTGTTCCACACCTCGCTTTATTTCCCCAATCTGTTTTAAAGATTTTTGTGAATCCACATACGGAGGCTTTGTTCTTTTTCACTGCTGTATAGTACTCCCATGATATGGATGAACTGCCACTCATTCAACAAGCTGCTAGTGATGGACATGGAGGTCCTTTTCAAGGTGGTCAGATGCATTACAAATGAGCTGCTCCAAGTGGAACCGCTGGATCAAAGGCTCTGGGCATTTGCAATTTTGAAAAGTGTTGCCAAATTGCCCTCTGTAGGAATTACCTTAATTTACACTTCCGCCAGCGATGTATAAGAAAAATGTAACATTTTTACAAACGCTCTGTAGACACCTTTTATGGCTGAACAATATTCCTTCATGTGGCTGAGGGAGCTTAAACTAGCACATTTGTCTTTGAGGGTGTGGAGGTTGTTGCCAATCTTCTGATGATAGAAAACCCACAAGTCTAAGGGCGGCAGGGACATGGCCCACCTTCCAGCCGTCAAGCTTGCTCTGGTCCAGTCTTCACTCCAGGTGTCTCCTGACCTCCTAGTCCCTCTGCCTCATTCCAGTCCAATGACAGTCCTAGTTGCTGGTATGGTTTTTTACTAAAGACACCTGTGACGAAAATCTCTCACCCAACTCCTCTTTGGGCCTGTAACATACCTCCATGCCATCTATGCCCCTGCTCAGAACTCAGCACTCACACCACACAGGACAGAAGGATGCCCTTCTTCTCCCTGGTGAACTCCTAAGGGCCTGTCTCTCTTCAGTCCTTGCCACCTCCTAGGAAAGCCCTTCTGAAGTTTCCCTCCCTCCGCGAGGACTGGAATTAGGACTGGTTACCCCACAGCCTGGGAACAGTTCAGTGCTGACAGCCATTCAGCAGCAAGGTAGGGGCTGAAGAGGTCAGTAGGAGCTGAAGCTGGCCTCCAGAGTCAGAGAACCCAGAACGAGCTGAGGACAT